ATTCAGATCAGTCCAGTGTGAGTGATGAGAATATATCGTCGACGATGCCCCTTGTTCGGATGAAAGTTTTATTTCAAATTACACGGAAGTCTGTGAACAATTTGCTTGGTGTTCCTGTGACACTTGTCCCATGATTTGCCAGTGCAGCCCCGTGAATACATGGACGAAAATGTTTCCACCACCACCCTACGAACTCAAGATTGCACACTCCAGCATCTATACTTTGAATAATTTCCACGCCGCACAGTGCAGTACTGGAAACAGCATTTATTAGACAGTTAGACAAAAAATAAAACAGAATGCCTGTCTCGATCAATCGCACATCCATAATGTTTGTATGTTGATATGCTTGTAAATAACATTAACGTAAAAGTCGAAACAACCTAGACTAGAAGTCAATTCACCAGTCCAGCCAACTATGGCTCCCTAAGTTGCTTATATTTAATCAGATACTATTTCATCATCATGCTTTGTTACCTTACCTGTTTATACCTCATGAGGGCGTTTTTTTATGGCAAGATGGCGCAAACGGAAGTCCTTCGCAGGTTTATGATTTATCATATTTAAATCATCATAACTCTGAAGATAACTATTTTTTTTATTTTTTTTTTTCAAATTTATAATCAATATACATAACTTGATAAATACAAACACCAAAATAGGCTCTATTTAGTTCCCCTTTAACATTTAAAGGGTTAATTCCCATCTGGTCAGGTCAGTTTGAAAGTATACGGTGCTGGCAGGATAAGAGTTAAAGCGAGGGAGTCGTCACCTGCACATGTAGCGTGTCATTGTTTACAAACAAGAGTCTACCCATGAGTCTTTGTGTTTTTAGAGTGTGTTGTTATCGTCACTTTGGATTCAATTTCCGCACGTGCGCAGGTGAGGACGCTCTCGCTTTAAACACTTATTATGACTACATAGTATGTCACTGATTGTATACTAAATTTCTAATGAATACATTTGCATATTGCAAGATTTCCTTGAACATCCAGTCAAATTCAAGAGCAGAGAAAGAAACTGAAGGTCACTTGTAAATCAACCAAGTTACTTTCACATACAAGCAATGTCTTGATAATCCTGCCCTTCTTGGTTAACAAATTTATATTAGACGCCATGAAATGTGTACCCACAGTGTCTTGCTTTTATCTTTGTAGTGAATCTGTGAATTATCAGTGGATACATTGTGGTGGTGATGTCATCTATGTTATTGGATTGGTGGAGAACTCTCACATTAGTATTGTCAGTTATCAGCTCAATAATGATGGGGAGCCGAATCCACAGGTAATACAAAACCATTAACTAAACATTTTCAACATTGTCTACTAGAGAAAATTTCCTGCTTAGACTGGCTTCTGTCAGGGGTATTATTCGTTTCCAAAAATTAAAAACAAAAATAACACTTTCACAAAGTTGGTTGAGTGATCATGAAACCAAAATCATGCCAATTCTTTTAGTGTGAAAATTATTGTTTAATCTAAGAAAACAAGAAATAGCAGACAGTTCCGATATACATGTAATTTTTATTTAAATTTATTAAATTCATCCTGAAGTTTACAGTTAATTTACCACTCATGAAGGATAGCAATGTGAATTTTGTTGGTATTGTGCTGTATTGTTTACTGGTGATGCACTTTAATAGAGGAAATTTGATACTGTAGAATACTTTATTTTCGCTGGGAATTAATTTTCACTATTTTCGCTGAAGAATTGATTTAGTGAAAATAAAATCCAGCGAATATACCTTTTTTCCTAAATTTTACCTTCAACTCATCAAAAATCAGTGAAAATAAATTCTATACAAAACACCCAGAAAGTCTTTTCAGCGAAAATTAATTCCAGCTGAAATACAGTAGTCAAAGTGCAGAATCTAATTGGATTCTATCATAACTGCAGGGAAGTCATCTTTTTAAATTTTGATACAGATACAAAAATTGATTGAAGATTTTGTTAGTGTCCATTCTAGGTACAAAACTTGACTTACTTTACTTACTGGAATATTGGCGTGTCTGTCTCTGAGGTCCCAATGGACTTGGCCAGTCAAGATGATTTTGTGTTAATACTATAAGCCATTTGATTGGCTGAAAATAAACCATAAAATAAACGGATTGGTCAATAATAAAACAATATAAATTGTGTAATGTTCTTTGTTTGTTTTTAGCGTTCCTTGCCAGCTGCCTGGGCATCGGTGACAGGTGTGTCCTGTATAGTGGTTGGTAACAGTAATCTAGTATGCGTGGAGTCTTTAACAAACTCACTGCATTCAGTTGTGTTGAAAGAAGGAGCTTCTTTCATCAGTAGTCCTGTCATAGTAAGTTGAATACGTAAAAATGGATTATTAAACTATATTCGTGATATGTAATTTCCTTGATAGATATGTAATTTCCTTGATAGATGGCGAGTGATGAGGTCAATCAGGTGGCAGGTGTATGAAAGGAAAGATGGCAACCATATTTGTGTATGTTAATTGTACATGATGTTACCGGTAACTCATCCAGTCAGAGTACTTTGTGAAATAGCTCTTTTTTTTCGTCAGAATGTATTGAGTACCACATTTTTCTGTTGCATATTATCATCCATATTTGTTATATACGAGTACCCCAAATACAGTAATTTAAGCATATGGTAAAATCTGTTTTTTAATTCAGCCACTGAAAAATGATTTGAGGGGGGCACTGATCATAAAAACTGTATCATAAGTTGTTCGATTGGGGTGTGTGTGTGTAAAAGTTGATATTGTAAAGTGTATTTCAAAATTGCAAAAAAAATAAAAAAACAACAACACAGGCTAGAAACAAGCATAAGTGTCAGGGAACATAAAACGTTCTACATATGAAGTGGAAATGAAATGTACATGAATGTAAGAAAGTGTACAACAATGTGATTCATCATCAGTTACGAATGACTTGCGTTTCCCGTTTGCTGTGTTTTTATTATCAATGCCCCTCTCCCCAATCCCTGACTATATAACACTCTACTTATGAACATTGAAATGCTCATTGATGCTTGCGCTTATTCTTACAGGCATTAGGATTACCAGAAGCTGAAACTGAAACTCCGAAACTAACAGCACTTAACCCAGTGCGGGCAGAGTTCACGCTACATCTCACACCAACTCATACAGCTTTGATGAGACAGGAGGGTAACAGTATTAAGGTGGTGCTAGACTTGCCGAAAGTGAGTTACCGATATTTAGATGCTTGTTATTTTGGCATAGGACTTAAAATACAAAATTGGTGATATTTTTCATGGAATTACCTGAGAAACTGGTCAGAATATATTATTTAAAGTTTCCTTGGTGTGTAGTGTTGAATATACAATTCTGTGTGAATTAACAGACATGTGATCATTCTGTATTTTCACTGCCATGATTCATTGAGCTACGATGAAAAAAAAGTTCACTGCTTTTGAACATCACCCTTCAAATTGACGGAATACTTGCTAATATTTGGGTGACAGGTAACCAACAATCCCTTTCCTGAAAAAATTATTTGAATTAGCAGTAACTTTGTTTTTTCATGGGATGTTTAAACAAGGCAATGCATTCTGTTAATTGTCCTGTTCTGTTATTTGATGCCTTGTTTTTTTTTTCTGCACTCTGGTTTCACACAAAAAATTGTTTACAATACTGACCACCGCACATTGTGACTGGCATCTTTGTAAGATACATGTATGCTATGACTTCACACAAAATCACAGGATAAATGATTTTTTTTTTCTGTTATCAAACAGGCAATAATAAATAAAAAATATTTGCCAAAATTTCCTATGATGTGTATCTATCCTCAACACTGTTTGTGAAGTGATGCAAAATATAACAGTAAATATTATGTTTTTGTAGGTTATTTTAACTGGAGCTGCTACATTTGGATCACAGGAAGTTATCCTGACATTGGAACCCAAAACACAGTTGGTAAGTACTTAGACAGCATTCAGTACAGGGAATAACCGACATCAAACAATCTGCCTGAAATGAGGAACCACAGCAATTGAAACAAAAAAAACCTCAGTGTTAGGCCAACTGAAAAAATGCATCGCTTCTCAAAATTGAAATCTTGTTTCCCAGATATTTTACTAAAAATCTGTTTTTTTTTTTACAAATTGTAGGTGTATGTAATCAGCTGTTTTGATGCTAAAACTGGAGTAAAGATCAAAGACACTAAACAGTTGGTTGCTTTACCGCTACATAACGGCTCCCCCACACAGGTATTTAATTAAAGTTGTATACCAATACATAACATTAAATGATTTGCAATTTTCTATTATACCACTCTCTATCATTAGATCTATTGGAAACCACAATTATAATTTTATGCATATGAAGATTGTAAGCAGCTGTTGTGAATCTCCTAAAACTTATAAATGGTTGAAATATCCATGAGCAGGGTTCAATCCTTCAGCAGTTATACCCTGTTATAGTCTGGACTATTATGCATATGGAAGAATAGTCTGCTAAATCACTACTGTAAACCATTTAAATTTCATGAGAAAACAAATATTTGCGAATTTCATGCATCTTTGAAAATTGTGAACATTTTGTAGTGTAAATTGTTTAGGGTCCTGTGATACAGAGTGTCACCAACTTTTGCATTTTGTTTTCTTCATAAATGCAATAAAAACAAATGATGAAATTTCCTAGCAATGAAATTAAACTATATATTGAAAATTAAGTTTATATTCATAGTTGGCACAAACCTCTATACATCAGATAGGTAACACCCTGGGGTGACATCGTCACATTACATTTTTGTGAATATTCATTACCAAATCAAATTGTACTATCGGTACTCTAAAATACTTTATTTTTGCTTGAAATTAATTTTCCCAATTTTCGCTGAAGGAATAATTCAGTGAAAATTAAATCCAGCGAATATACCTTTTTACCTATATTTTACATTGAACTTCAAAAATCAGGGAAAATAAATTCCATACAAAATATCCAAAAAATATTCCACAGTATGTAACAATTGGCACATGTACACATACATGTGCTCAGTGATCACTTGTAAGGCCTGCCCACACCACACCACACCATAGCACAGCACATATTAATAATTTGTTATTTGTATTCTCGCAATCATAGACAAGTCAAGTACATCTTGTTATTTTTATCATTTTTTTTGTTCCATTAGATGAAAGAATTTTTGTTCAGTAAAAAAGAATCTCAGTTTGGATATAGAATTCTATTGCAGACACAAGACTACTCTCTGTCATTGATACAGCAGCCAGGTAAGCAATTACCCATCTATCTTGATGACAACTTAGATTAAATGTGATAACTATGGTGAGTCACACCCATTTTGAAACAAATCCATATTGCATGTCAGATTTGTTCATTTCATGGTGATATCTTCTTGAAAACTGCCAGCTCAGTTGCTTTGATACTTTGTATGCAAGTACCTTGAGTGGACCACTGTCAGATTTATTCATTTTGTAATGATATCTTATTCTCTATTTTTAGCAAATGATTTTGTTATTTTTAGTAAAAAATGCTATTTTCAACTTCAATACTGACTCAATTACTTTGATACTTGGTATGGTTTGTGACAGGTTGATAACAATTGCAATTGCCATAGCAACAACCATACTAACTTCTGTGGCTGTGATTTTGAACATTGTGGTTACAATAACCATTGCAAATCACTAATATATACAAGTGTATCTGATTGGGGCTATGTAGTTGCCTATAAGCTGACAACAAACAATTCGAGTAGCTAAGAGTTCCCACTGAGTTCCATCAGAGTTCCCTACAATATACTTTAACAATGGTATGTACACTGCCACTGAAAATATTAGCTTTTAGTGTCCACAGTTCTTCTCCACTGACTGCATCATCATTTCTTACTAACACTCTCAGGTAAGATTGTTTGGAGCAGAGAAGAAGCTCTATCAAGAATTCTATCAGTTGAGATGGTTGACCTTCCAGTGACAGATACAGAGGCAAAATTTGAAGATGAATTTGGTCATCAAGGAGGTAATTAATAAAAATTCCAAAAATTCCAAAAATGTAGAAATATAGGATTTTACTGTTAATGGAAAAACAACCCAATCAGCAGTATTGTGTAGTTCACTGTTTTGCTAACAAAATAGTAATATTAATACCATCTTACTATTACAAACTGTTCCATTTCAACTAGCAATATTACTATTCTGTAAAACAGTGAGCTATTGTAAAATACTTTATTTTTGCTTGCAATACATTTTTGCTATTTTCACTGAAGAAATGATTCAGTGAAAATAAAATGCAGCAAATATACCTTTTTTCCGATATTTTACATTCAACTTCAACCCAAAAAGTCTTTTCAGCGAAAATTAATTCCTGCTAAAATAAAGTATTTTACAGTATATTTCAATACTGTTGATTGGTATCACAGTAATAGAGTGTGAGAAACCCAAAATTCTGAATTTTTTAAAAAACAGCCAAATTTTGGAGTAGTGAACCCTGTGGGCTATCTTCTATTGAGTTGATGGTGAAACTTTGACTTGGGTTGTGCATCGCTTTCTAGCACTATTAAATCTCACACACAGTATAATAACTTGGTTCATTCCTGTGTTACTATACCATATGTTTATGTTATGGCACAATTCTTTGGAATATCTAGTGGGATCAACCAGTTCATCATTATTGTCAATGACTGAGAATTTTGTCAATTAGCGTCTCTCTGCCTTATGCATTTTATTAAATATTCTCAAAACAGTCTGACAGCACAAGTTGCCTGTATCAATGATACTACATGTATGTACCTTGCATTGGCTAAAATGTGTGATGGAAAAGCAATAAACACATGACCGGAATAAATCAATAGGCAACGAAAATGCAATACTATAAAATACTAGTACTTTATTGTAGCTTGAATTAATTTTCGCTGAAAAGACTTTTCGTGATTTTTTTGGAATTAATTTTGAGTTGAATGTAAAACATAGAAAAAAAGGTATATTTGCTGGATGTTTATTTTTAAAGTATAATCGCTTTAGTGAAAATAAATTCCAAGCAAATATAAAGTATTTTACAGTAAATGCACAACCCTACTGTGGTGCAGTGCGAATGAAAAAATTAATGACCAATTGAGCCATACAGTGTACAGTTTTACAAAACATGCAACCCAAATATAATAGATCGGTGATAATTGAAGGTCCTTTTATCTGTTTCCAGATGATGTCATAAGCATGTTTTTAAGAAGATTGACAACTCAGTTTGCTCAGATACAGGTAATACAGATACATACCTAAATTAAATTGTGTTTTAAATTCTCATTGTGTCAACTTATACATAAAATAGCTGATGTATAAAGAGTGAACCTGCCATTATGAAAGCCTTGCTAAAAGTTGTAATAAAAATTCAACTTTATAGTTTTTTCCATGAAAAAGTGAAATATTTGTCATAAATTTCAAGGAGGAAACTACTGCATTTGAAAAATGGAAGTCCAAGGGCCAGAATTGGTGTTATGTGTATGCCTTATGCTACTGCTAATGTTGAGTCCCGATAACATTTATTTTATGAACTAATAATTGTAAAAAATGGGTAAATGCTGAAGTTTTCCTAATGACTGATCGTTATTTTATTGCAGACCTACATCATGTCCTTGAAAAGAAGAATGCGACATGGACATCACCATGAACATCTAACTGCAGAAGACTCTAAACCAGATAGAACTAACAATGCAAATGACGATGATGATGATGATGATGACGAATATCTAAGAAGAGATCAGTTTAATTTGCATAAAATGATAATCGCTGTCTGTGAGTCTGGAAAGGTATGTCTTTGGAATAGAAACCGTCATTTACTGGTTTGATACCTACAAGTGTATTGTGTTTTACTGTGACACCTTGCTTGTATTTTTAGTATTTTTCTAAACGTTTCTGTAGCTATATGGTTTGGACAGTGAAGATGGGTCGATTATATGGAGGCAGTTTATTCCGAATTTGCAGTATTTTGAAAGGAGCAAAACATTGCCACTGTTTATACAGAGAACCACTGCTCACTTTCCTCACCCACCACAAGCAGCAATTGTTGGCAGAGACAAGGTACGTAGCAATCAGGGGAACTTCTACATGTAGCTACACAAATATAGTCAAAGAATATGTCAACGAAAAAATGAGCCCAGAAATTTGAAGAAGATATTCAAAACTCTCTTTAGGAGCACACGACAAGGAAAGATAAATGAGGATGTGGAGTGATTCAAATAGGAATTTTGAGGATTTGGAGTCGGGGATAAGCAAATTGCATGCATTCTAGGAGAAGAAGGCTTCTCTGATTTGGACACAACAACAATTGTTTGCAGAGACAAGGTACACAGCAATTGTTTAAAGGATTTGTGTTGTATTGGTAATATGTGTACATCTATATACATCCTTTGTGTTATTTCTCATTGCTTAAAGTAATTCATAGTGCTGTGTTTCTACTTCATGATAACCATCTATGTTTTCATCTCAGATTTCTGGCCAGACATTGATGTATTCATTCAACCCAATTACTGGTAAACCAAGTGATGTCAAGAATCCATTGGGAAAAGTACTTAACTATCAGTTACAACAAGTCACATTGCTTCCTTTGATGGACCAGGAATTTCTTAAGATTATGATTCTGATGGACACAGAATATAAGGTAATTCTCAAAAAACTTTTCAATATATACCAGTATAATGGATTTGTCAGATCGTGTTTGTATGTTAAAATTGACCCTGTTCAAAAGTTGGGCTGGTCTGACAATTGGTTAGCTTGAGTTCAAATCCTACCGGGGGTTGAACACCAAAAATGGGATTGACCCCTACCCTGGGAAGTTAAAACCAAAATTCATTCATTCATTTTTTCATGAATGTAAATTTCAGGGAATCTGATTAAGGTTTACAGGTGCTTGTATTGACACTGGTTGCACTGGGAGCATTTTACAATAGATTTGTTTGTACAATAGATTTTCAGACATGTCAAAAAATATATCAATACATGTACTGATACTTGTCATCAATTAGCAAATTTGAATACTATCAGCAGTTACTCTTTGTGAATTGGAACTGTTCAGAATCTGATTACTAACTGAACACTGTGTGGATGTGGTTAATAATAAGGTTTTTAATGGTACATTGTACTGTACTTGCATTTACCTATAATTTCAGGCAATTTTCTCACTATTAGTGGAATTTTCAGTGCTTGCATACCCTTATCACTTTTCATGTAACTTATTATCTGATCCATAGTATTTGTGCTAGTTCAGAGAAACTGACATCTTACTTCTTTGATTTATATTGTATATTACATAGATACATGTGATTCCAGCAGAAGCAAAATCTCTTCTACAAGAAAAACTGTCATCCCTGTTTCTGTTTACTGCAAATGCTTCAGATGGGAGTCTAGCTGGATATGCCCTGGTAGATGTTGGCAATGAACACTTGCACAGTGAAATGGTTTGGAATGTACAACTTCCTGATGATCAAAGAATCATTAGCATAGCAGCTAAGAGACCAACAGGTTGGTTTTTAATTTTTATTCATTTCATTGTCTAGAAGGATATATGCTGTAAAAAGACAGGAAATGTGATATTACCACATTGCCTGCAGACACCCTCTGCAAATAACCGAAATTAATTGAGAAAAAAAATGCGTCAGTCAGCAATGATTGGCTGGTTGATTTAGGGATCAACATCGTATACCTGACAGACCACCGTCAACACGTAGTACGCATATTTCATTTCACAAAAGATGTATATTACATCCCTTTGTGCACATGAAATACGATTTATATCAAATATTATATGAATATGACATGATGCAAGAGTGTTTCAATTCTTTAATTTAAGATGAAAATATGGCAGCAGGATACTTACCATAAAATAATTACCATAAACACACCCCACAAATGTGAGGACGAACCCAAAAGGTGACTGGATTTGTCCATGCTATGTCTATAGGTAAATATGTAACATTCATTTTATTTCAGAGCATGTCCACTCACAAGGTAGAGTACTTGGTGATAGAAGTGTACTTTATCGATATTTAAATCCTAACCTTGTAGCTATTGCTGCTGAAGGCATTGACACAGCAGGCAAGCGTAAGTATTAAAAGACTTTTATGTACGATGCTGTGCCTTGTATTTACATGATGGAAAACCTGATGTGTACTTTTTTCTGCTATGTATTAAACATGGAGAAAATAGGCTTTTAAAAATAAACTATTTCTTCTTGTTAAATTATGCAAATTTATGAATTAGAAAAAAGTACCTGGCATTATACCACTCTGAGAAACTGTTTTTTCAATGCGTATTGATTCTTTCAACAAAAATGATGTACTGAGGTACAGCTACTATGATATTACCACATTGGTCTATAGTAGTGTGATTTCTAACTGCCAGTTGCAATCCCTGCAACAGGCTTCTACCTTTACTCATGTAAGATATTTATTTTATTTGTCAACAGAATTCTTGAATATGTATTTAGTGGATACTGTTACGGGAAGTTTAGTCTTCACAGCTAATCACAAGAAATCTACTGGTCCCGTTCATATGGTGCAGTCAGAAAACTGGATTGTGGTAGGGTAATATTCAAATAATAACATCATGTCAGATGGCACATACCGGTAGTTACAAATGCAGGCTACCAGTGGCTTCACTGTATCCAACAAAGGGGTTTTAGTTGTGAGAGATCTGACCTCAAATGTTCGTGCTACCCACCTACTTTTCCGTAGATTTTTTTTATATACATGTATGTCAATAACAAAACAAAAACAAAGTACTGTAGAATACTTTATTTTCGCTTAGAATTTATTTTCGTTATTTTCGCTGAAGGGATGATTCCGTGAAAATAAAATCCAGCGAATATACTTTTTTTCCTATATTTCACATTAAACTCATCAAAAATCAGTGAAAATAAATTCCAAGCAAAACGCCCAAAAAGCCTTTTCAGCGAAAATTTAATCCAGCGAAAATAAAGTATTCCACAGTACCTGGTTTGCTGATTTACTTACAAATTACATCACCCGTTGTGATTTGTAGAATGTGCAATCAGAGTTACAGAATGTATTGCTATCTTCACTGTATTACGTCTTCTTTATATAGTATGAATATTGGAATAGCAGACATAGACGCCATGAAGTCACCGTTTTAGAATTATATGAAGGAACTAAAGATAGAAACAGGTAGGCACTATAATCCATTCCATGCTATTGAAGCATTTTTTTTCAGGTCAGTTTTTTTTTTTTTACCGGAAATGGTCTAAATATACTTGTCTTTATGTTTTCAGTACTGTGTTTTCATCATTGGATCCCCCAGAACCCCCAATCGTGATGAGACAGTCTTACATATTGCCATACGCACTGCAGGATATAGGTGTAACATCCACCGAGAAAGGCATCACAAATAAAGCGTTGATATGTAAGTACTCGTTATGCCGAAATTGAATGTTCATTTTCCCCGCTGAAAAGCCTCCACAAAATGTTGAAATGAATGAGAAAAGATTACGAAAGCAGACGACGTGTTTAGTCTGAAAAAGATGACTTCTTGTAACTGTAAAGCATTACTTATTGACTGTGTTGTAATTTTCGTTGATGTAATTCGGGTAATTCGCTAAATTAAATCCATATGAACATATATAATTATACAATAAACTCGTAGTCTTTAGTTAGTATCTTCTACCAAATATTGACTATTGATTGATGATCGTTAGAATCATCTTTTTGTATTCAAAGTAGTGATTGGCATTAATCAACAGGCATTCTTCTTTCTAATGGAGTTCTCGCCTTTTGCAAACTAGTATCTACATACTTCCTCCATACAGGCTCTTTATAAAACAAGCATCTCTGTAAACCAGACAAACTTCTCAGTGGTCCTCATTCACTGTTTGACTGTACACATGGACACACTAGAATAATTACAATGTTGTATTATTTCACTTGATAACATACATTTTCATCTTTCATAGTTTGTTTGCAATCCGGTGGAGTGGTACATTTTCCTAAAGCTTACTTAGATCCAAGAAGACCACTTGTACCAACAACATTACACAAAGAAGAAGGCATCATTCCATACTTACCAGAATTACCTATCTCCACTGAGGCTTACATTAACTACAATAAAACTGCAAGTATCACCTAACCCTTCAAAAAACTTGCAATGCCTGTCATTGCTAGATAAACCATGAGAATTGTCTTTGTCAACTTAGGGCACCATCCACAATATCATTTTGTATAGTCCGCTCCTCCTTGCATGAAATGTTGATAAAAATTGACAGACCTTTTTTTTAAAAACTAAAGACAATATCTGAAACTGTCTGTATGTTCCAAAATGAGGATGAAATTTATTGTTAAAATATCAGGTTTTTGGTTGGAAATATATCAGGCATTCAAAAGATTCAAAGGGTTACCAAGCTTACACAGGTTTCTGGTAAGATCAAAATAGTTTCAGCCACCGTGACTAATACCACATTTTTCTTTCTGAACCAAATAACAATCTTGAGAAGATTTTTAGAGATCACAGTATTTTTCAGATTCATGTGGGTACTTACTTTAGAAAGTATGAGACATTTACCCGATCCATGTGGAACTGGAAACAGAAATTAAGTATATGGTTCCCCTTATAGTTGAGACAGTGTACTCAAATGTTTATTGTGTTTGAATTCTACACTTATAATTTGTCACTTTTGTTTTCTTTAATTTTTATGAGACAAAAAGTTAGACCTTGAGGAAAATGTTGTTTTTTTGTTTTTGTTTTTTAAATGTTATTGTGCCAGGCGACAGTTCTAATCATTGAATATCACTGTTGTCTCTCTTGACTTTTTTGTAAGTGCAAATTGCAAGACTGAAGTGCTAGTGCCGACACATAGTGCACAGTGCATTTTTGCCACGGAAGTTATATTCATGTTTGGGACTACATGACAGGGCTGTGCGACCATCTCCCTATCAAATGGCAATTTAATGCGCTATCCTGGCATCAACCAGGCTCGGTCCAACACAAGCACCTTAACCAAGGTTCCCCCAAAGTCACATTTGTTAGTGTCTGTGTCTGTGGCACACTCACCCATAGTAGGGGTTGACCGTTTTTGGTGTTCAGCCTGAGGTAGTATTTGAACTTGGATCTACCGATCATGAGTCTGATACGACAACCATTTTGCTACTTTGTTAATGATTGCTCAGCTTGTATAAACTGAACTGAGAGATCTATGCCAACCTCCTGAGTTTAGTGCCACTTTATTTCTGCAACAAGCTTTTCTCTATCTATGCGAGTTGCCATTGCTGTGTTTCCAATTTGATTGTATGCCACTGATAAAAGCCTGAATGGTATGTGGCTCTGCTGGGCGTTTTCCCAATAGATGCAACCACCAAATGAACAGCGGCAACAGGTTGTAACCAGATTACCCATAGAGGGCAACATTTAATATTCATTTATTCTTCTTTTATCAGGTACTTGGGGTGAGAGGTGTTCAGACGGCACCAGCTGGATTGGAATCCACTTCATTGGTACTTGTATATGGCCTGGGTATGTAATAATTGCATATTTTCTGAGTTTGTGATTTGAATCTTAAAATATATTTGATCTATATATAGATGTCCTCATTGCCAGGATAGACTGTATACATTCAAATCTGTCCTCCTACAAAGGTTTGTGATGAAACTCATTTTGGAGTATTGAATTTCACAAAAGCAGTTTCTTTCTAAAAAACATCTTTGGTGAAATGTTTTCTGTGACTACCTAAACTTAGAATTAAAGCTGTTTACAATATACAAAATCATTCGTGTAATGACATATTGATGATGGTGATGCCCTGCATCAACTGGCGGTGGTTGAACCTTCACCAATGGTAGTTGTTGCACTGAACTAATGATCAGTGATTCTGAGACTGAACACCAAATACGGGGTGACCCCTTTCCTGGGTGTACCACAAACTCAATGGTCATACCAAAACAGAAATTCACTATAAATTCACTATTTGATGCACCTTGGGGTAACCTTGGTGTTTGTCCAGGTCTGATTGTCAACGTGATAGTGCATTAAATTACGATTATGATAAAAAAAATGATCGCATATTGAATATGGTTTCTGTGACAGGATGCACCATACGTTATGTGAACCATTGTTCGGGAAAAAAATCGTGATCACCATATATTTAAAGTACTTGATATGTAACCCATAGGGACGTATGTAACACGTGTAAAACACGTATGTTTATGCATAATCCGGCTATAGCACTATATAGAAAATCAAAATCTAATTTGATTATTTACTTTCATACTTATCCACAGATTTATTTTACACGAGGGTATTCCCTTCCAAAATGTTTGATGTTTTGAAAGATGATTTTGACTACTACTTAATCATCACTGTTGTGATTGGTCTGCTGGCAGCGTCCGTTATAACGCAGAAGCTGGCGTCAATGAAAACGTTGAAGAAAGCTTGGAGATAATATTTGTAACATCTTGTAGAACTACGCCCTCTAGTGTTTGGGACTGACAAAGCTGTGTAACATCTGGAGTTTGTTTTTTGTCCAATCATGGATGTGATTGTGCAATCCATTTCGCTTAATTACATTCTTGATCAGTACTCTAGTGAACGTGAGTGGAGTTATTAACATATTCAAACACCCTCAAAAAGTTTGCTTTTTTTTTAGCTAACTTCATGCAACAATATTTGGATAAAATAGTTTCTGTTATTTTCGTGATTTCTAACTTGTATTTTTGTCATTTCATAAAATAATGATATCAAACTAATCACAAGTGTACGAATCGATTGCACCCTGATGATGGATGTATCCATTGATCGTCATTGCATCCTTTAAAAGCATATTCTGATTAGTTAACCCTTTGGTGTTACCTGATACATATGCAGTAATATTGAAATTTTAGTTGGAAGGAGAAAGGTTCCACAAAATCGTATACTCTTTCAAATTTAAAATGCAGAGTATAGCCATCAAAAAGTGTTCTATCTTTTACCCCAAAGGAATAATACGTGTACATATGTAACATCCATTGTTGCTTGCTTGCACAAGGAAGAAGAAACAATTCTTTGATGAAAGTTATTACATTTTGAGCAGCTATGTTCTTAAGCATGGACATCAATTTCATATTTAGTCCACATTATTAGGGTAGCTTTGTAGGCCATTCATGTACATGTATCCTTGGCAGAGGTATCAAACTGGTACCATCAGAGACCCAGTGCTCGATTCAGTCCCTCATGCACAGAGCTTTTCTGCATAATGAAGTCTATTCACTCGTAGAAAAATCTCGGCCTGAAATAAAAAAACTGCTGAGAATATTACAGAAATTTATCATTTTAATTATTAAATAACAGTATCACATTACTAAATCTTAATATACTGATGAAAAAAATGGAAAGGGGAGAGGATATTAACATGAAAACTAATGTAAATAACCATGACAATTCTGATTTGTGCTGTCCAAATAAATGTATATGCAAAGTATCTTTTTCTTTGTACGATAATCATGTTGATGTATTTCTGAGAGTAATTTTTGATTGTATATTTTATTTTCTCATGGATTAGAACTGTCATAGGATAGGTAATTCTTATTTTGTGATATCCCCCGGGGGTGGGGTGGGGGGTCAGAGAAATTTTAGTCATCTCTTTAAAATCGCATTTATGATGTAATTATGTCTTATTATAAAATTCATGTATTTATTGACTCGTTGATTTCTATTAATAAACTCAGAAGTTAGTTTGTAGTGACTTCATACTGCCTGCCCTATTCGGCTGCCTATCCTTATTTCACAACCTGGCCAGTCAGGGATCATGTGCTAATTACACTAAAGCTTTTTTACCTGATATTTTTGAAAATTTTCTCTGTGCATTTGAGAATCTTAACCTTTCACCACCAGACTTTCTCGCCCACTTTTTTTTTTATATTTCAATATTTCTGGAAAGACACTAGATTTGAGTAAATTTTCTGTTTTTCCTTAAAAAAAAAATTGGCTGTTTTTGTCCCAATTTTCTGAAGGAAAGTGCAGAATATAAACTGGTCCATTTTGCGAATTTGGGATAAAAAGAGGAACTGGCAGTGAAAAGGTTAAGATGAATATTATTATTATGAACATATTTTTCTTTTAGTAAACAGTAGGCATGCAGTCCAACTCACAATTATTTTTGTTGAAAATACGTCATTTCTGAATTCTGTATTCAGTCTTGCTGGCAGGTGTTCATATCTGTAGCAATATATGTTGAAGTATACTTTTATCGCACCAAACTTCACTCAACGTACTTGAATAATTTGAGGACAATTTAGGGATGGAGATGCTATCTACTGTCGACTTGACCAAATGAAGCTCTTATCCTTTATTTGGCTTGTATTCTCATTATAATAAATCGCCCTCATCGGCAGTTATCAAGTCTTAAATTGGTTGTTCATTGTATTTAAAAGCCTTATATAGGCACTTATTGCTGCAGGAATCCTGTTTGATACGTCATGTGCATGTGACGTATACAACATGTGTCATATTTGCATAAAATTTGAATTTATACTTTAACCTAAAATTGTCATTCTGAAGTTTATAAACTTTGTTTCAAGTTTGTAAATCAGGTAAAATGTTGAGGTGCAATATTTTTTTTTTTATGTATCAATGTTACTTTCTAAAAGAAACTGATTAAATTTCTTTGAAATAAGTTTTCCCAGAATGTGATTTGTATTTGTTCATGTGGTGCATTGCCTGTGTTTGCATACCTGGGAGGTTTAATAGGTGAAGTGTTATTGCTTATCTGCAATAGATGTGTACAATAATGACTACAGATGCAGGGACATGAGCTGCTATTTAACACACTATTAATATGAACAATTAAGTCACAACTTATTTTGAACTTTGACACGCCTGTCATTTCCTTGTACATGTGTGTATGTTGTACACGTTGCCCTGAAAGCTTCTTGGACATAACAAAAGAAAAATGCAGATGTGGTAAATGGAACAAATACAACATATTTTGTGATGTTTTATGTTTAAATGTGTTTAAAGATGATCTGCATTGCCTAATAGACCATGAACCGAGTAAATCACTGGTGCCAACAAGAGTTAACACAAAACCGAATGAAAGAATCCACAGACAGCCGAAAATAAGTATGAGGGAGAGCAGCATCAGTAAGCTTTGTGTTTACTATGCAGGAAATGCCCTTGTAAAAGAAATAAGTGTATAGCATATTGCCCGAGTTTGCCTTTGTGCTTGTCATTCCCTCCATTTATTTACGAATTGCTTCATGAACTATCGTCCACACGATTCTATCGTAATTTTAAGCTATTTTGAATTTCAGTTGATTACATCATAGACTGTAAAAGTTTTAGAGCTCTACGATTACACATTTTTTAATAAAACTTTCGCACATAAAGATCGAAAGATGAACTCAGTTGAATCATTGAGGGCGCACTTCAAATGGGGGAAAAATGGACAAGCGCCTGTTCACGCACTTACGTCAATTACAGGAGTGTCTCGGTAGTCAATATCATTATAGGTAATATTTCAATGATTCGGTATACAGGAAATGTGATTTTTGGTTTATATGCGCTTCTATTTGCACTGGGAGTCCCTCGTAAAAACGCCCCGACATGTATGCGAGGGGTTAAACTACTTCTGAAATGGGGTCTCTTTTTGACATTCCTTGAAAATTAGTTTCAAGGAGGGGATTTTTGACGAATTTGGCTCGGGCCATAATTGTCACCAAAAGTTGATGCCTCGCATAACTGAATATAAATAATACAAGAAATCCATATATAACTATGATTTACAGAACGAAAGCAGAGTATACTATTGTGAAATTCTCTCAAAATTATTAAAACGCCTGTTAACTACACGTAGATGCCGTTTATGGTCGTGAGGTGTTGAATAGACTTGTGAATCGGTCTGTAATTTTGTGGATGAGTCTTACGTACGCCAGTCTGCAACGACGTGTTTCTATGATATACTGAAGTCGTGAACACAGTAAATCAGTGACGACACAGAATTACGTGCCGACCACATAGTTACATCGCGATCAACCTTACCATTCTTGAGTGTATTCCAGACTGTAGGTATCATTTCATTTCACAAAGAACAACTGTTTACATTCTTCAAAGAAAATTCTGTGAACAGCAGTTGCGTGTTTAAAACCTTTTTTATTAGAAAATCCATATATTTTAATATTTTCTACTCGACTAAATTAAATTAGTTGTTTTGCAAACTTATAAAATTGAAAAATTTTGTTTCGACAAAAATTCACCCAGTCATATCGTGGGATGTTACTGTAGCGTGTTTTCTTGGACAGAGTGTATGGATGTTGGTGACACGTACGTGTACTTCAGTTCTGAGTATCAGTGAAACACTGGTTAGGATGATGACTCAACTTTTTATAACACTTTTACCATAAGTATAGATATTATGCCATATCTCAAACTGTAGACTGGTGACATAGACTGAAACAAATTATATATTGTGAATTGGTGGCTATTTTTTGTTGTCTTCAGTTATTTCAAAAATCTGGGTTTTGAAAAGTGCCAAAAAATGTAATTTTTCTTTAACACTGTGCTCTATGGAATTGTTCTAAAATAGTGCTTTTTGAAAAATACTAGGACAAATTTCTCAAAATACGTTACTAATAACAGTCAAAGGAATTTCATTTCATGACGCCATGAGGCAATAACTTCATGATAAACCAATAGCATTGAGCATTGCCATTCGATTTATGGCCATTTTTTTCAAAATGTTATGAGTAAGCTTCTACCCGAGTATAGCCTGATTACACGCCTGTCTTGCGTGATTAAAAATGACGTTCCTATATGGCGAGACTATTACAAACTTATTTAACGCCAATACTATATGATTATTATTATTAATGTTTATACTTAATTAGGTATTATCTATTTTGTATGGGATTTCTTGAATCGTAATTTGTTGATTCGTGAATTTTACATCATACGCGCGCCACTTTTGTCTTCGTGTCGAAAGGCTTTCATCTTGCCAGGATCGAACATAATTTTGAAGAATAAAATTAAAGGGCATTGGACGTCACGCCGCGTCCTATCCGATATGGGACTCATAGCAACGTATTCAACGCGTGTGTAAAATACATGTACATTGCTTATTTACATAAAAATCGAACACGCGCTGCTGGACAACCGCCACCCTTTAAGGTAGCAATAAGCGGGGAAATGAGTTTAACTTAATGAATTATTTGTGATTTAGAAACTCTCTAAGGTACAAAGCATGCTACTATAATAAATTACACATCATACGAAAGCTCAGATATATCATTGCATATATCAGTGTTTATTAGAGTGCTTGAATCAGAACTTAATATTTAAAAGGCGTAATCGTCGCTCCACGCATGCGCGAGATATATGGGTCTCATATAAACAAAGATGGCGAATTTTGCTGTTAACGAGTACAAACTGAGAAGTAACTAAGCTTTAATTAGGTATGTTTTAGGTGATTGG